CCGACGTCGAGGCATCCCAGGTGATCCGGGTAGCTCCGTCGAGGCGCGTCGAATCGTTTCGAAAACCTCTCGAAAGCGTCCCTTTACCGGCTCCCGATATCGGTTTCGAAATCCGTTCGCTTCGGGCCACCGTCTATTTTTAATAAATCGCTCGATAGTTCGGTTATCGGGTCGATCCACGTTCTTCGTTCCACTTATTCGGTGTCGATGTTTCGAACGAACAGGTAAACAGGCCGCTCAGCATGAAGAAGGAGGGAATACAGACGAGGAAACGAAAGCCGAAGAACCACTCGGGAATTAGCGGGAACTTGGCCGGGCCTAGCGGCATGCACAAGACCGAGCTCAAGTCCGGCCTACTCGGTGAGTCTTCGGTGAGCACGATTGACATTCAGGTTTAATTTTCGTTCGGCCATCTCCGTTCGTCGTTTTGTCCCGTTTCTTCGATCGCGAACGCGGGTGTACCTACGGATCCTTCGGCTTTTCCATTTCTCTGGCTATCTCGATCGAGTTCCGAGATCGAAGTCGCCGATGTCGCCAGCGGGCGAAACGGAACGCGATCGAAGACGAATCGGTGATTTGTCGGAAGGTGTTTCAGGGGAGTCGTTGCAGTTGAAAGTGTACGGTAGCGGCGGTAATGGGAACGGGGTTGCGAGCGGGGGCGGGTTAGGTGCCGTGGTCGAAGCCGGAGACGGCCTCGAGTTCGGGATCGAGGATCGGACAGGGCTCGCAGAGAACGGAAGCGGGTGCGCGGAAGGAAACGGAGAAGTCGAGGAGCATTGCCCAGCCGTAGGTACACCGACAGCCACGCAATTGGGCCACGCGCACTCGCCCCTAACTTTACCCACTGCCGCCATCCTCAATCGACAGACCATTCTTACGTAAGTGTCGCCGGCTCTTTCGATTCCGAGGCGCGGTTCGATCGGTCTTTTCTTTTTCAGCGTGCCACCGCTAGAACCGATCGCTAGTCAACCCGGCGGCGACCTGATCTCTGTCATCACGTCCACCACGGCCGTGCACGCCGAGCGAAAGTGAACTCCGGAACAGCGAGCGTCGTTACCGAGCGGGCGCCGCTTCGTCGTTCGAGTTGCCCGCTGCCCACCACCCGGGGAGCCGCTTTCCGATCAAGCAGCGTCGGAAACGTCGGAAACCGTCGACCGACCAAACTTTATCGACCAAAGACACTGTATCCGCTCGGTTTCTAATCGCGAGCGGACCAACGATTCGTCGCTCTTCCGTCGGACGGAAGCGAGAAGAGGAATCGACCGCGCTCAACTTTTAGTCGCAATTTAGAGTAGTTACGTACGCGTTTCGGCTCGATCGTAAATCCCGTTCGTTCGACGCGATCGTCGGTAAGGATGCGCGAGGGAGGTACGCACGAATTCTCTCTTATCGACCGGGTTCGACTTTGTCGACGGTCGCGAGAGCAGCGACTCCGCCGGACGACTTCGCCATCTACGCCCGGTACGAGGAAACTTATCGACCGCGTTCTTCTTTTCCTTCTTTAGTCTCTGCGCCGACAACGTCCTTTACCCGTGTCCGTTCTCCCGTTCGAGTTTTCGAGTCCTCGTGGCCGATCTCGCGCGTACCGTACCGAACTCGCGTCGAATCGTTCGCGGCTTTCCTTCGCGTATCGAATAATACATACACGCATATACACATATTACATAGGTATTACATAAGTAAACGCGAGCGTCGAGCCACGGTAGACCGCGAGTACTCGCGCAAACGGTCAGTAACGAGGCGAAAAAGCGTGCTCGTGTTCGAGTGGCGAAGCGCGAAAGTATTTATTTTTAGCCGTTGCGAGAAAAGCGCGCGCGCCAACCGGCGTTCGATCGTCGCGTACGCGACGCAAACTTATTTTGTAGAACTTTTTGTCGAAAAGGAATAAAACGAGAAGATCGAGCGTTTTCGACTCCATCCATCCATTGTTCCCCGGACGTTCGTCCCGAAGAGATCGCGAGTTTCGAAGTTCGGCTCGAACGGATTCGCGATTCGAAGGAGAGAGCTGCGACGCGAAAGAGAGAAGGACGGCGAAAGGAGTGGACGGAGCGCAATCGAGCGGGCAGAGGGGCGGCAAAATGGGCGAACGGCTGGCGGCCGAAAGGGGGACGGGTAGGGTGTGTGGGTCGGCGGAGGGGTGTAGGGGGGCTACGAGTCCATCAGCCTAAAGAGTGGCTATCGTGCTCGCTAAGGGCTATTCCATGTTAGCCGCTCTCGGCGAGCTCCTTTTTTTCTCCTCTTTCTTTCCCTCCTGGACTTTTTGTACGGCGCAAACGTGGCGCCGCCCTCGAGATCCCTTCTCGTACGGGGAGACGCTGAAAGCTTCGCGGTCGATCCGCGCCACCCGCCGGAATCTCGCCCTCTCTCCTTTCTTATCTTTCGTCGTTTTTTTTTCTCTTTCCACCGCTTGGTCGTCGTCCGCGCGCGTTTTCTCCGCGACGGAAACGACGGACGAAACGCGACCGCGATCGAAAGGAGCGAGCAGAGTTCGGTTCGTCTCGACGGATCGGATCGTTCGGAATTCGAGGGATGCCCGACGCTTCTCTATCGCGGTGGCGCCAACCGGTGTACCTTATCGCGAGCGGAGCACCGTTACTCTTCGACTCGTTTCTTCGGGAAATTCTTTCCGTCTCCTCCGATTCCACGAACGGAACGAACTCGACTGGTTACCGAGCAACGCGCGAAACGCCGCGATCATTCCGGAGACGCGGACTCTCGAACCGTAGGAAGCGCGCGACGAGGAGTTCTCGCACCGCCATAAATAAGCTCGAAGCGCAACAAATTAGATCGCGCGATCCCTTGCGAAACATCGCTTAGCCTGCTCGTCGCGCTCGCGATATTTCACGGGCGAGGCACACGGACGTAAGTTAAGCCGTCCACGGGTCCCGCATCGCCTCGCCTTTCTTCTCCTTTTAGCCTCTTTATTCTCTCCCTCGGCCCGTATATTTTCTCGTTTCGCCGTGCGAGATCGTCCGCTCGCCGTTTTTGCATCGAGAGTTCTCGTATCGGTTCGCGAGGCGCGTTACGCGTTCCGGATCTCGACG